TTTTTTTTTTATTGGTAAATAAGTGCAAAACACATCAGACAATAAAATCTGGGTAAAACAGTAAGCAAACAGTCCTTTGGAGGAGAAATAAGCAACTCAGACAAATATATCACATCATTAGTTCTACAGTGTGTGCACCCACTCCAGTGAAGAATATCACAGTCAGAGGTGGAAAAACAGATTAAATGAGCTAGTCATCTTAAGACAATTGCCATCCAAGAGACAGTTACATCATAAGAGAAGTGGCACCAACAGTAATCTCCATAGCAGTTTTGCTAAGAGTGATGATTCTATGGAAACAGAAACTAAAATACTCCTATTTTAACAGAATGAGATGAGCCCTCAAGGGCATATTTTCCTTACTATGCTTTCTTATCCTAAAGAATAATAAAGTTTCCTTACTATTGTTCCAAAATATAGCAAGGTTGTGATTCCTAAGTGTAGCATATGCTAAAGAAAACTAAATGCAAAAGGCAGATAAATTAGCAGTTTTCTTTACCTCTTGAATTATATCTTTGTCTTCATGTTCATGCTCCCATTCTGGAACCCCATGAAGCCATTAAGCTGTTTTGTGGTTCAGTAAGTAACTGTCAGCACTCTTGCTGAAAGATCTTTTACCCTATATGCTCTCTGGGATTTTTTCTCTTCCTTCAACTCATTTTTTTTCCCTCCTTCTCAATGGCCTTTTATTATTCACTGTAGTAACTGGTGACAAACTCTATTTTGTAGTTTAACATAGCATCCGTCTGCTGAGTCAGCTGGACACTGTCAAGAAAGCAATATAAGTACATAGTTTGATCTTAGTTTTTAATGACAAGTTGTATCTAGCTGAAAGAAAACAGACTAGGAAATAGCAGGAATCCCTGTGGTTCAAGTAAAGTGAAAACAGTTGCTCCAGTGAATCCCACCCCTTGCCTCTTCAAGACCAGATTGTCCAGTTTGCTGATCAGGGATTTATGTCATTGGAACTGAACTGTTTCCTTCCAATCTGACAGGGGTAGGATGCATTCTGGTGAACAACAACACATCAGCCAGCAAAAGTGAGGTAGCAATACCCTCCAGAAGACAGGAACGTCCAGACTGGGAGAGTAAATGTCCTTTGACACATGTGTGCAGCCTACCTTGTCACTAAAAGGGACCACACTTGGAAATAACGCCTTCAGATCCCACAAATAACCTGAGAATAATACACCTTAGACAACTACCACATTTTGCAAGTGAACATCTGACTGTGCTCTAACTTCATAGCAGGTATAAATGAAAACCAAGGAGGAAATGAAGAAGGCTAGATTCAGTATAATTCAGTCACTGTGGGAGTTTTCCTGGTGAATACTCTTAAGTGCTTTTTCTGTCTTTTTCTCTGAGGAGACAGAATTTCACCCTAAATTATGTTCCTTCCTATTATGTTCCTGCTCTTATGTTACAACGCATCTCCTTGGGCCCTGCATCAAGTGTTTATTCATTTCTTTAGCAAGAGCACGCTGACTGTTTCATATGGACACAGACTACTCCTGAGCTAGCAGTTGTATAGGACAGGGCTCCGAGTGGTCACCTTTAAAGCACAGAGTGGAATCTATAATCTGAAAGCATAGTGCAAGGCGCTCTGCTGCTAAAACAAACAGTGAAATTAAGACCTTAAATCTGTGGTTTCCTGTGCTTTTGGTTATTATTGTTGTTCCTTGGTTGATTAGGCTGGTTTTGTTTGTTTGGTTGGTTTTTGTTTCTTCGTTTTTGCATTTGTAGACTTACACATTTTCTAGAACAGCATTTGCCCTCTGTAATCACAGAATCATAGAATCAGGGAATGGCCTGGGCTGGAAGGGTCCTGAAAGATCACGAATCTCCAACCCCCACCACAGGCAGGGCCACCAACCTCCACAACTGATAGTAGACCAGGCAGCCCAGGACCCCATCCAATCTGGCCTTGAACACCTTCAGGGAAAGGGCATCCACAACCAGAATCACAGAATGGCCAGGGTTGGAAGGCAACTCAAGGATCATGAATCTCCAAGCCCCTGCCACATGCAGGGCCACCAACCTCCACATTTAATACCAGACCAGGCTGCCCAGGGCCCCATCCAACCTGGCCTTGAACACCTCCAGGGACGGGGCATCCACAGCCTCTCTGGGCAGCCTGTTCCAGCACCTCACCACTCTGTCTGTAAAGAACTTCCCCCTGACATCCAACCTCAATCTTCCTTCCTTCAACTTAAAGCCATTTCCCCTTGTCCTGCCATTAACAGAAATAATAATTAACAGTAATAACAGTAATAACAGTAATAACAGCAATAATAATTGACAGTAAGAATTTAACATGCCTTAGGAGCTGAATTGCATCTTAAGGTTTCTTTTCTTTCTCCAGGCCTCATAGCAGTAAAGCAGAAACCCTGACATACTGAGGTCAACTTAAGCAAACCCTCCTGACGAGGGTACTGCCCCAGGCCATTGCTAACCAAGGTAGAGGTGCTTCCCTCCACAGTCACAGCCCTGGCCATGAAGAAGTGAAATTCAAACACCAACTGCTGAAGTCTCTCTTTGATTGTTAGGAGCACTGAGTGAATGTGGGCAGGTGTTTTCTGATTTCTTAATAGTTCTTTTATGTTTTTTTCATCCATACTCTGCACTTTCACTGCACCTGTACCACCAAGAACTGGGCATCTGACTCCCGGTTTTGAACATCATCTTTCTTGATAACGTTTGCTGCTTTCTCTCTGGCTTATGGAGGTTAGCTGAGAACCCAGACCAAATTCTTTCTCAATAGCTGCATCTTGGTTTCACTTCCAAGCTTGCATGGGTACTCCTCTTAAGGAAAAAGACTGTTAGCTCAGCTTCATGCCTGTTGTATTGTCCAGTCATCTTCATTGTTAAATTCCTGTCATCCATCAAACCCTATTCACTATTGAAATGAACAGCAAATTAAAAGAAACAAATAGCTCAGCACAGCGCTACACAGAACTGGAGCTAGTGCGTACAGAGGTGGATGAAAAGCCACTGAGCCCTAATAGTGCTGATGGAGCTGCACTGCAACTGTTCTGGTTGAACTATTTCATCCTTCCCTGCAGAAAATGAGAGATGGAAAACTTTAGCTGTGCTAATAACAGCATGAGCAGGTACCACATTTAACCATTACAGTGTGCTGATGAATGTGAACATGCTTCAGACTTCTATTTATTCCAAGTGAGATTTCCAAGTTGCCAGGTCCCTCACACTACAGAATACATAGTAAAGTCTACTGAGGCTTATAGTACCTGTGAGCTTGTGAGATATGCAGAAAGTTTATCATTTTCTTATGTACATATTTTATTTCAGAGACCCTGGACTCTTTTTTTTTTTTTTTTTCCTTCCTGGTTTAGTACTGCTGTAATGACCTCTTTTTAAACTTTTACATCTTTCCATGTCAACAAGTCATATAAGTTACAGGTGGACACTTAAGCCAATGCCAGTGCCTATCAAGAGTTATGCAGAATGTTAGTCATGGCATGGATACGATATGAAGCAACACACATCTCCCTTTAAAATCCTGGTCACCAGACTGTCCTTCACTTTATGTATATAGGCCACGTTTACATTATCATCTTGGCTGAGAACAACAGTAAGTTTTTAAGTGTATTCACACCTTCTCCCTCTATCACGCTTATGAAATGTTGAAGTGGGAAGGGATTCACAGTGTGTGATGACTTTGCTGAATCACAAGAGAAAGTTGTTCCAGAGGAAATCGAACCAGAAACGCTTCTCCAGGGACATGGGAAATAGCAGTCACCAAACCCCAGTGGAAACACGAATATTCAAATCAAGTGCTAACTTTCAGGTGTGGTAGTAACATTCATCCAGGGAATCAATCTAAATCTAGCCTGACATTAATTTCTGGAAATATTTGCAATATAGATATAGAGACTGCAGCACCAAGCCCTCCCATATTCTGATCCATATTACTGCTCAGCTTCCTTGCTAATGCAAAATAGCAACAGAGGCACCTACACAAGGAACGAATGCTGAAGTTTGGCGAGTCCAAATATAGTGCAGAAAAGGATATACTGGGAATGCTTTAATGAAGTTTTTAAAAAACTGCTTTATGTCTCCACTTGTAGAACAATAGAAGATATAATCTGAAGTACAGATATTAGTAGAAAATCTGAGCCTCAGTATTCTAAAATGCTCTATATGCTCTATCTATAAGAAAATAGTAAGGAGGGTCCTTTTGGCCTCTAATTAGCCCAGTCTGCAAAGCATGAATAAGGCAATCAAAGAAGTGAACCAGAAATAAATAAATAAATAGTCACCTGAAAAGAAATAGAAAAAAAAGAAGAAAAAAAAAGAATAAAAGGAGGGGGGAAAAACAACAGAATGAACTAGTGGTTCCTGCAGCACCAATTCCAAAGCAGCAATGCTCCAGGGGCATCGTAGCAGAGATGTACGCTAAGAAAGGATGAATCCTGTGGTGAAGTCATAGTATTTGGTCATTTTATGGACTTATCAAAAATACTGAGGTCAGAACAAGAAAAAAAGTCTCCACTTCCACACATCTAAATGCATCTTTATACCCAGCAAGAGGCTACCTGTTGGCTCTGTGGGCTACACAAGACACCACAGCTCAGCATGTGGGAAGTTCATTCACTCTTACCTTCTTCTCAAGGCTTAATGTTGATATAGGAATAAAACTGCAGAAGTTCTTCCTCCAGATGGGACTCACGGTTGCCTGTACCACAACCTGTAAGCTGTGATTGCAATCCTGACCTCATGCAAGTAGTGATGCCTAGAGGTTGGTTGACAAATTAATGGCGTTCACTAATAAGATGGTCTTAGTTAGGCTCCTAGATCCTCATCATTAGCCCTTTCCTTAGGATGCACAGAAAGGATAGAAAATCCTTCAGCTTCTACTCAGCATAGGACAGGATGGGATGGCATGGGATGGGACACTAATGGTGGAAAAGGACAGGAGCAAAGCAATCTTTCAGGCATACACATTCTCCATGAACAATGAAATGTCTTTGGTCTTGTAGGCACAAGAGAAATGGACATGCTGCCAAAAGACCCGCAGAGGCTGTGCTCCTTTGAAAACCCTGAAACTGAGGAGAGGACAGAGGTAAGTCTCCTCTTACCAGAACTGATACTTAACATCCACAACACTGAATGCTTGATAGGATGAGTGCAACTTCCTCTACAAGGAGAGTATTGTGATGAGAACACTTCACACGGCAGACTCTCTTGTTGTGAACTGCATTCCTCTTAGTGCTGCTGTGCCTCTCCCTTAGAATCTGAAAGCCTGGTGCCCACCTCCTCCTCTCTGCAATGGGAAAATCAAGAGCCTGCAAAATGCTCAGAGAGGTTGTCCTTAGCTGGTAGCCTTGTGTGGTTGAGTTACTCATACTAATGAGAATCTTGGGTGGAAAAGATGTGATGGAGCTATTCCTTTTTCTTTGCTTTTCTCTGTATGATCACATTCATCCCACGTGTTTTTAAAACAGCAAAAGAATTTGTAAGAAAAATGTTGGGAGTAGAAAGGGAGTGAATGGGCAATGTGAATTCCAACATGGCTGAGACATCCATCTTCAGGGTAGCTGGCACTGGAAGGCATGAGGCATGTGTAAAGACAAAAACAATTGAAGACTCTTAAGCAATTTGGTACTATACAGTTTGTTTTAGACTTCTCTAAGGACAGAGGATTTTATTATAGTTAGTTAAATTTAGCCCAATAACTAATTCTTCTGTTTAGAAAAGCACTGAAAGAAAAATGTCAGCAAGTAATTATCTTCTTGTGGCCTATGAGTGTGAGAAGTGCAGGTCTGCTAGCTCTAAAATCTTAAAGCCAATGGTGAATAATCAGCTAACATCAGTATATGCAAAAAGTTTGGGTTTTAAATGAGAAAACTTTAAATGCAAAACCTGTTTTCAAAACTCTTTCTGAGATTTCTTTCCTCATGTACTTGCTAGTGTAATTTGCCTTTTTTTTTTTCTTCCCAAAATCAAGGTTTTTCTGCAGTTTTTACTGAAATGCAAATTCTATCCAAAAGGGGCTGAACACCAACGTGACATCAAAAAATATCACACTGCTAGTAAACAGGAAAGATGAATCCAAATATATGTGCATAATGGTTTAGCAAATTTAAGGTTAAGTCGATACCAAGCATCCAATCAACATGCCATCACAGGTGCCAGTCCATTAGAATCTGATTTTCTTTAGGCAAATAACTTACCACAAGCAGTAAAAGTATGGTTCAAATTGATAATTCAAAGCAGTCAAAATGAAACTTTAATATTACATTAAATCAGCTATGTAAATCATTCCAACTGTGGTTGGAAGGTGGAATTGCACAGGCATTTCCAGGTATTTTGATTTTGCGACTGTAAGTGCTCTGCTCAGCACCATATAGCTTCATGGCAGCTTGAGAATCTCAAGCAGGACCTGCACAACTTCTGGGAAAGCTCTGAGCAGCCTCTAACATTCTCTGGATGAAATTAAGGCCATATTTCAGGAAAAGGAGGAAAAAGTTCAGTGACTTTGGAATGTAATTTGTTTTAATAAATTAACTCCGATGCTGGGGAGTGTAACAGCGCTCAGAACAACATCTGACTTAACACTGATTACTCCTTAGTTTTAGAGAAGATGTCACAATTCTTAACGATTGCCCCCCACTACAGGAGGATATTTAGTGGTAGAACTTGGTCAGAGGGAGGTTGAGCTGCCATTATCACTGGTGCAACATGAGCAGAATCTGCAAAATGCCATCATGTGAAAGTCAATAAAGACCATGAGAGTATATTGACCAGTGTGGAAGAAAATTAACCATAGAAAAAAGTGAAGCACTGAAATTTTCATTAATGACTTGCTAACTATTAGTGGAACAGAGAAGCTTAGTGTTTGAGACAGAAACTATGTGGAATAGTGGGACAGAAACTTATTTTCTGAACTTGAACTTGCTGAGAGAGAAAAATCTCTAAGACCAAGAGAAAGCTGACAAAGAGAAAGCTTGGTTCTTTTCTGACTCTCAGTCAGTAGAAATCAGGAAATAGAAATTAGCAGTTCTTTTTTTACTTTCAAGTGTGTACTTACTCAACTTGGAGGCCCAAGTTATCACAAAATTCTCTTCACTTTCAACAGACTACTAGCAAGAAGTAACAAGCATTGCTTAGGTCCAAACTGCACACCTGACTGCATGGTTCAAGTAAAGGGAAACTGCACAGGTTTCAACAAAGCATAGGAAATGCTTATGTCTTGTAGAAATGGCTTTCACTAATGAAGACGTGATGGGGGTCTCAAAAGAGGATAGGCAGTAAGCAGATGTTACACTTGATGCTTGGCAAAAGGCAAAGTAATATGCTGTTCTGAAAGAAAGAAAAAAGTGTGATCCTTCCAAAGAGACACTGCATGTAGCAGGCTCAGAACTAGCCAGCTGGGCCCACTGTGAAACACCACAATGCTTACTAATATCTCAGAGTTCTGTTGGTTTCTTCTCCTTCTTCTTCTTCTTTTTTTAATAGTTAAAATTTCTTCTGTTTCTTCGTTATGGCTAAAACACATTCTGTTAAACTTGCAGCTCTTAGGGAGTTCAGAACATCATGTGCCATATTACTGAGCCTTTCCTGCAGCTCCCAGTTAAAAAAAAAGAGAATGTGTATAGGAGTAGCATAAACTGCAGCTGGTTTTCGTTATTTTTTACACCATCATTACTGCTTACTGGTAAAAAGGAAGATGATACATGAATACATCATTTGGTTTCTCTGCAACACTATTGTACATGAAATTGGGAGATTACCTTGGTGAACAACTCCTAATTTCAACGGAATATTTATGATTATTAAAAAGTTTCAGCAGTCATATACTGGAGATAGAAAACCTGGTTTTGCTCTTTTCTTGGTTTTATGAAAGATTTAATCACTGAAGGACCTCATTGAGTCCAGGCAACTCTGGAAAGATTAAATAATTTTGCTGAGCAGCTACTTAAAAACAAAACAAAAAAAAAGCAGAGATTTCAAAGGTGCAACTCCTGCCCCTCATCCTGCTTTTTATGTCACTGCCATAAATGTACTATGGCTTCAGATTTTGCAGATGACTGAAAATGGCAAAGAACATCTGGGGAAACACTGTGCCCCAGAGGGCAGTGGGCATGGTACAGCTCCCCAGGGCAGCGGGCACAGCCCCAGGCTGCCAGAGCTGAGGGAGCATTTGGACAATGCTCTCCGACCTAGGATTTGGATTTTATGTGGTCCTGTGTGGAATTGGAGATTGGATTCAATGGTCCTTGTGGGTTCATTTCAACTCAGAATACTCAGTGAGTGTGTATAATCACAGAATCACAAAATCCTCAGAACTGGAAGTCTAGTCCAACTCCCCTGCAATGAACAGAGACCACTACTACAGCTAGATCAAGTTGCTCACAGTCTTATCCAGCCTCACCATGAAAATATCCAGAGATGGGACATCTACCACATCACTAAGTAACCTGTTCCAGTGCCTCACCATCCTCACTGTGAAAGACTTTTTCCATATGCTTAACCTAAATCTACCCTCTTTGACCTTGAAACCATTTCCCCTTGCTCTGTCACCACAGACCCTGCTGTCCTTTTCTTTCCTGTAGTTCCCCTTCAGATACTGACGGGCTGCTATCGGGTCACCTTGCAGCCTTCTCTTCCCCAGGCTGAACAGACCCAGCTCTCTCAGCCTGCCCTCACAGGCAAGGTGTTCCATTCCATGGCTCATTTTTATGTCCCTCAAGGCAAGGTACATGCCAGTTTGACAGAGTAAAATCATCTTTCTTCTGTGGATGAAGTTCTCCCCAACCGGCTTGTGTTAGCCCCAGTTTTCATTGGCCTGGTCACTGTTGGAGTCCAATTCCTAGTGGAGTCAGGGGAGCTAGTCTGGGCAACAGAGAGGAGGATCCATCCAAGGTATGAGCCCTACATATAAGCGCATAGCTAAGAGTTCACTGGCAATTACAGTCTCTGCTAATATTGCTCTGGAGTCTGTCTTCATATCATGAAGGCAGCATTAGTCCAAGAAGCCAAGGGACTTGTCAGTCATGCAGAGCAATCATAGCCATTATGCTTGACCTCTGGCATTATAATTTTATTCATGTGGCTCTGCCTGGAAGCTGTCAGAGGTAAGCAACAAGATTGTCACACCAGCAGTGTGTAAAATGTGCCTACTGAGCTTCATTTCCAAAGACAAATAAGACTGCCTGCTCAGGCAGTATTTGGATTAGACAATAAAATGCATAGCAGTTTCATAGTGCGGAGCAAGTTCTCCATATAGAACAGCGTGTATTTTTAATTAGCTAGCCCATAATCAGCTTGCTCTTTCATCTCGTTATGGTTTCATTTTGCATGTTTTTCCTTCTGATGATTGAAAAATGAAGCTATGACCCTGGCTTGCTGAAGGAACAATCGGTCCACCATGGTTTAGTCATTTGGCCTCTTCCCTTGTTAATTCAAGGGCAGATCTGTAGTAGATTCTGATACAATGGTTGTGTGTGGGGGCAGTGAATTTCTTCTCTGAGCATTATCCAATTCTCTGTGACTTTGTGTGGACTTCTAGGTGGGCTTGGTTTTCCCACTTAATGATTTCAAGTAGTCCCAACCATCTTGAAGGGAATGACAACAAACACTGCTGCAATGGAGCCAGAAGGAGCAAGCATCCAGATTCTCACATAGGGAAGGTTAGTTAAATTGTCTAGAGAAGGCAGCTTCTGCGAAGTCTCACATTTTAATGAGCAAAACTTGCAAGATTAAAAAGATAGAGTTTGCAGAAGCACTCATTAAGGCAGCATAAAGATAGAAATGTTAAGATTATGGCAAGAAGGGCTTGCTGTTGTTCTGTGTAACAGGGATTTAACTCCCTGGAGATTAGTAGGGTTCCCTGCTTAGGAATTAAAGCAGAATCAGAGATATTTCTCTCTTCTGTAATTGGCAGAAAACACCTGTGACAACAGTGTACAAAAAGATGACATGACAAAATGTGACTTCCTGCATTTAATTAATGCTCAGAACTAGTGTAAGCATCACGTTGGCTTTGCCTGTTTATTAAATGTGTGGGGCTTAAGAAAGCTGACTTGTTTCTGAGGCCATTGCTTGTGAGTTAAAAAAGCC